GAGACCAACAGCAACATCAGGTTACTGGTGCCAGCCATTATCAATTAGGTCGGGGTGAACAACTTATCTTTAAAGAAGACAGAGAAGGCTGGAGATTTAGCTCAGTGATTCTGCCACCTGCCTCGCTAGCGCAAGGTCCCAAGTTTGATTTCTGGTACAAAAAAAAAAAAAAAAGACAGAGAATACTGGTGAAACTCCCTATACTAATGATAAAGACAAAGACTGGACAGCTATAGACAGCTGTCGAGTCTGCCAGAGCAACTGTAGCAAGGCCCACAGCAAAAATTAAAGTAACAGTCTGAGGAGGCCTAGAAGCCAGGGATAACAATAACAGTCCATAGAGTGATTTAAGGCATCTTGTGAACGATGTCCTCAGGCTTTGGCCACGCGTAACTAGTCAGCTTCTGGTGTTACTAGAGCAGGGCTGTTGTCTGCTGGTGATGTCTCCAAGCTCAGGATGAACCCTGAGGTCTTCTGTCTGAGTCCTGAGGGGATTCTTGGGGTTCAGGTTCATAGTCCAGGTGTCTGAGACCTCTGCGGAGTGGGTCTTTTTCACTCAGGTATGATGGATCCACAAGGTGATACCTGTGACTTTGACAGCAGTGGGGGTAGCAAGCACAACTGTATAAGGCCCTGGCCAATAGGCTGGAGGGGTGTCTTTTTCCAGTCTTTAACCCAAACTGAACCTCCTGGCTGAAAGGAATGTGCTGGATTACACATAGGGATGGGGGTTCTTTCTAAAATTGTTTTGTTAATCTGTGAAAAGACTTTTCCTAATGTTTGTAATTCTAAGGCTACATGATTATCTCCTAGTTGTCTAACATCTCCCCTAAAATACCTAATGATTGGGGGAGGTCTCCCAAACATTATCTCATATGGGGAATAACCTGAGGGTCCAGCTATTTATCTGACTCTGATCAGGGCCAGAGGTAACATGCCTGGCCACTCTGTCCCTGTTTCTTGGCAATACTTAGCCAAGATGGCTTTAAGGGTTTGATTAATGCATCCTACTCTCCCTGAACTTTGTGGCTAAAAGGCTGTGTGTAGATTCCATTTAATCTTTAGCATATCAGAGAGGCCTTGAACAGCTTCAGGCACAAAGGCAGGCCCATTGTCGCCTCCAATTGACAAGGGGAGTCCATAACAGGGAATGACTTCTCTGAGGAGGAGCTGAACAACTTCCTGGGCTTTTTCTGTCCTGGTTGGTTTGGCTTCAACCCGTCTGGAATAGGTGCAGACTACAATCAACAGGTATTTGTGTCTAAAACTGGGTTTCATTTCAGTAAAATCTATTAGTAAGTTTTCAAATAGTGATGTTCCTGTATCCTGAATTCCTGGAGGTGGCAGTGGTCTCTGGAGAGGATTGTTGCAGCTACAGGTCTTCTATCTTTGCCAGAGCACTGTGAGATGGGATAAAGATTCTGGTATCTGGCAAGGTGTAGAGGCACTTTGTATTTTCAATTCTGTACTGTTTGAATGTCTAATGCTCTTCATACCTTATTTTTAAATGTCTACAAGGGCTATTTTGGCAATAGGCTTATGGGTCACTCCATTTGCATCTTCACATGGCTTTTTAAAATAAAAACTAAACCACTGCAACCTAAAAATAAAATGTGTGAGAAGCCAAGTGTACATTATAGGTTATGGCCATGCTCGAGGTGATCCTCCTCCCTCAGCCTCCTGAGTGCTGGGATTATAGGCATGTGCCACCATGCCCAGATAGATTGTCCTACATTTGTCTTGTTGGGCTGGGGATGTAGCTCAATGACACCGCACCTGCCTGGCAAGCACAAGGTCCTGAGTTCGATCCCCAGTACGGCAAAAAAAAAAACCACATTTAAAATTTTTACAAACAAACAAAAAAACTAAACTAAAAAATCTATCCAGGGCTGGGGATTTAGCTCAGTGGTTCTACTGCCTGCCTCACAAGCACAAGGTCCCAAGTTCAATCCCTGGTACCAAGAAAAAAAAGCTATTTAGGGCTGGGGATTTAGCTCAGTGGCACTGCACCTGCCTTGCAAGTGCAAGATCCTGAATTCCATCCCCAGTACCAAAAAACGAACAACAAAAACTAAACTGAACTACATTTGTCTTGTCTTTGCTACATGTGAGCTTCTTGTAAGTCCAAGAATTTCACCTTGAGCCCATCAATCTATGGTAAATCCTTTCCTTAGTTTGTTGGTTGTCTTCTGACTCTGTGGATTTCTCTTCCTTCCTGAGGATTTAAATGTTTATACAGTTGAGTTGGTCTGCTTTCCCTTTACAACTTCTGGGATTTGAGTTCTTCTTGGAAACAAATTCAGCTTCTAAAACAGTAAGTTAACTCACTCCTGCTCTTATCTAAATGTTTCTTGACTTCATTTTCCTATACTGACATCTTTGATCATCTGGCAGATTTCCGGGGAGACAGCAGAGTGGGTAGGGAATCCAACTCTATTCGTTTTTTTCCAAAGGCCTGGCCAATTTTCTAAGCATGAGCTATGTTTAGAAAATCCCTTTTTTCTCCTGCTGGCTTAAAATAAACAGCACTGTGGCCAGGGCCTAAACACTCAGATGCACGAAGCTCTTGTTCTAGGCACTTTATTCTATCTTGCTGTTCAGTCGGCCTATTTCTTCTTTCCCATGAATCAATTCTCTTTGTATCAAAGGCTCACAATCCATTTCATTTTCTACCTGCAGGACTAATCTGCCCATGTTAACTTTCATTTCTTTGGATGTTACATGCAGTCTCAAAAGCTGGAGACTTTAAATAGTTTGCTTACAATATCAGCCAGTGGTCTGGCAAAAATCCAGCCACTTGCAGGTCAAAGATGAGAAATGTGGTTCATCTTGAATCACTGCTGTCTTCTAACAGCCCAGCAACATTCCCTCCTAAGTTTCAACGTCATGATTTACAATAGGAAAACCCTCTCCCATGGCTCCTTGGGGCAGAGACTTCTTCACCCTCACCCTGGACAACACAGTGCCAGCAGGTCCATCTCTGACCCTAAACTGATGCATGTCCCCAAAATGTGAAAAGACCTGGGTGTGATGGTGCACACCTGTAGCATTCGGAAGGCTGAAGCAGGAGGATTGCCATGAGTTCGAGGCCAGCCTGGGCCACATAGTGAGTTCAAAGCTAGCCTGAACTATGTAATGAGAACCTGTCTCAAAAACCCAAAAATAAAATAAAATACATAAGGCTCCAGTGCAGCTCAGTGGGAGAGCACTTGCCTGGCACCTGTGAAAACCCTGGTTGGCCCATGATCCTGTGCCAGGACCTTCCTCCCCCGGTTTCCACCTCACCCAGATCAACTACAGCTAACTCCCTCCTTACTGGAGCCCAGGAGGCCCTGGGTAGTCTGCCTCCCACACCTCCTGACCCAACTCTTCTTCCTCGCTCACTCCAACTCTGGTCACACCAGGGCCCTCGCTGTTTCTCAGGCCAGCCAGAGAGGCCCGGATCCTTACATAAAACTACCAACTCACCCAGGCATGGCAACACCTGTAGTTCCAGCTACTCAGAAGGCTGAGGCAGGATAATCACGTGAGCCCAGGAGTTCAGGGCCAAGCTGGGCAACTTAGCCAGACTGTCAAAAAATAAAATCAACTCACTCTCTCTCACCGCCACCTGCTTCTGCTCTATTTGTCACTGCAGTGCCTGCCACAGGTTGCTCAGTCTTCTCACTAGCATGGGCTGGGGGAGAGCAGAGACCAATAAGGAAGCCCCTTCTGGCCCTGCCCAGCAGCTGCTGCTCTTCTTGTTGCTGCTCCGCTCCCTGCAGCATGCTGGTCACCTTGCTCCTCACCAGGTGCTGCCTTGCACCAGGAGGCAGAAGTTTCTGTCCCATGCCGAGGGCCCATCCCCAGACCTCCCCTACTTCAAGCCACGCACTTTCCTAGTAGCCAGGTGTGACTGTCACCATGGAAGGCCATTAACAGACCTTGATCACACACTCCCCCCACCGTGCCGGTGGAAGGGCCACCAGGTCCCTCCACCAGCCAGCCCTGGACCCTACTCACTCCTGGCCTCTGATCCTGGCCCCCCTGGTGGTCTCTGCATCTCCCTCCCTGAAGGAGCCCTGACCTTCACCCCTAAGGCTACTCCCCTATCCCCAAGTCTCAAACATCCCCTCCACAACTGGGGTCTGTGTGTGTATCAGAATTCTCAGGAAAAGCTATTTAAGATGCTGATGTCCAGGCACAACCCCCAAGAGATCCTGACCATGCAATGGCCTTTTTAATAGATTCCAGGTGACTTATGCGGTGGCCACCATAATTCAGGAGTTCCTGGGATAGGAGGAACTTCGGCAGAAGAAACTGACTTTCAACTTGAAGACCTCAGGCAGGGCATGGAGGCACAGGTCTGCAATCCGAGCACTTGGGAGGCTGAGGCAGGAGGATCACTATGAGTTGGAGGGCAGCCTGGGCTACATAGTAAGTTCAAGGTCAGCCTGAACTATATAGTGAGACCCTACCTCACAACAAAACAAAACAAAAAGATAAAGACTTCAGCCTCTGCCTAACAGGATGGGAGGAAAGGAAAGGTTTTCATTTTCCTCCTTTTGTTTTGTTTTTTGTTTACTTTTCTGTTTTGAGATGGAGTCTCACTACATACTCCAGGCTGGCCTGAAGTCACTATGTAGCCCAGGCTGGCCTCAAACTCATGGTGATCCTCCTGCCTCAGCCTCCCATGTGCTGGGATTATAGGCATATGCCACATACCTGTCTCTGGCTGTTTTTAAAAATTGCATTTTCTAGTAATCCATTTTACCTGCCTCTTATCCTAGAAATGTCTCGAAACCCTGAGGTCTGTGCGAAATCCCTTTCAATTGCAGAGGCCCAAACAGACACCAGACGACATCTTCTCTCACAGGAAGGTAACAATCCTTCCAAGTCCGGCCCAGGTCTGACGACCACCATATGGCTGGGGGTCCAGGGCACACTGCTAGTCGGGGGCCTTCTCCCAAATTCAATCCACACACTCTCCACCTAGAAAAGACACTGACAAGATATTTAATTTGCTGAACTTTATTTTACACGTTGACATTCACATTTACTAATCACAAGGTCACAAAGCACTAGGACCTGTGAAGTTAAGGACAGGACAGCTGCAGGCTTCCGTCACCTCACCCATCCAGTTCCCTCCGAGGGTTTGTTCCTCACACACCCAAGGAAACCCTCTAGACACACAGAGAGGAGGGACTGCAAGCAGAAAGTGTTCTTTGCTCCTGTATCTCCAGTCAGCCCCACTCAGAATTATGAAATGAATCATCACAAAGAGCATGTCTTACAGGTGAATCAGGACCAACATCGAACAACTGTTCACGTTGTTTTAACCACAAAAACTGAAGTCAGAAGAGAGACCACGAAAACTCACGGAGGCTAAAACTCTAGGGTGGTAGAGCCTGTCGTGTGCCAGGCTGACACATGAACTTGCTGTCTGTCACACAGCAGGATGAGGGCACGTGGGTTACAAAAGGAGGCTTCCTTTCAGAGTGTCGCCTCACAGGACATGCACAGGACACAACTGCCTCTGCTTGTAGGCTTCCTCAAAGTCATGTTTATAAGAAATTTAATTATATGCAAAGAGATGACAGAAGCAACTAGTTCCAGACCTGTATGTAAACGAGTGACCCTATAAACACAGGTAATGCTCTTAACGGTTCTCAACATGACTGATTCAGATTATAACATATTCGAGTAGCCATTTTTCACACTTTAAAACATATGAAAAAATAGATTTGGATTACATCTGTGGGGATGCCTTGAGACTCCCCAGGATATAGTCTGGTCTTGGGGACACTGTCCCTTTCCCTACATGCTCACATCTCTCACACGCACGCGTGCGCACACACATACACACACACGTAGGACACAGTAGTATGGTCTGATTTACTGTGTCTAAATCCAGAGGGCACAAATTAACAACCATGTTGTAAAGGATTTTTTTTCCCTTCCTACCATAATGTGAAAAGTGGACTTCAGCCTCAAAGATGGTGAGTTTGGTGGCACTAGATGGAATTAGAGCCAAGAATCTAGAAAAATTCAAGACTTTCCCATCCAATTACCCTTCTTCCCCACAGGCTTCCTGAGAAGGCTTCACCCCAAATGGGGATCCAAATGCCATTTTTATTAATAGATCCTGAAACTACTCATTCAAGAACTAGGCAGACATTCATTTTCTCCAGAACTTTTAGGACCTAAGCCTTCCAGTTGGACAACTGGAGGACAGAAGTCAGGACTGAAGGAACAAGAACACCACGTCTGCAGGGAAGATCTAGGCTTAACTTACCCACTGGGGAGGCACAAGGAGGCTGGAAGGAAACAAGTGGCCGCCCTGCTCTTCAAACGCCAGGCCCTGAAGGTCAGGTGCTGTGGGAAGCAGGGAGTGGGGGAGAAAAGCTGAACCCCTAGGGACTCTGCCCACACACAATGGGGAATGTTTTAGAATTTTCCCAGGCCACTTACCGGCTCTCTAGCCTCTGAGGGTGAGTTGAGGAGGAGACCTGGCAGAGAAAAAGGCAGAGAGACATCTCCCTCCCCCATTCTCCCCTCTCACACACTGTCTCCTACCATTCCATTCACCTCTGAGCCACATCTCTACACACTGGGTCCCTCAGAGTCCACACTCTTGTCCCATTTGACAGCAAGCAAAACCTTTGCTCCCAGCTTGGGACTTCTTCCTTGCTCTTCCTTCAACTCCTAGGGCACGGGTGGTCCTCGGAATCAAAGCTTTCTGGAATCTGTGGATAAATCACAACAGCTCACTAGGGAAAGCAGGAAAAGGTGCCATTAGGAAAGTTTTACTTCCTAGGACCTTCTGAGGCCTTGAACATTCCATGCACTGCCCAGGCCCTCAGAAACCTTCACCCCTAAAGCCACGACTTTGACACATTATAACCCCAACCCATTCAACCCTCCAGGTCTCACCCTCTAAACCTCACCTGAGGTGTCACCCACTCCCTCCAAATCACTGGAACTGTCTTTGTCACCACCTGACCTCCTACCCGAGGGCTCCTCTGCCCCAAGCAGCACTCTTGTGCTTCCCACCTAACTCCAGTCACTTCTGCCATCACTCTCACCCTTGGAGGCCCGAGGAGAGCCTGCAGGCTTGGCCTTTGGAGCCCTGGACGTTGAGGATGGCACTGCAGCAGGGTTCAGGCCACACAGGACCTTCTTAGCCGACACATCCCTTCTGGAGTTTAGCCCTTTCTTCGGAATCATCAGCTTCTTCTTGGCATCTTCGGAATCGACAAGGACATAAGAGACAGGGCCCAAGCTCACCTTCTTCTTCTTCCTCACCGGGGTGAGGCTCTTTCCCGAGGCCCAGCCTTCAGCCTTCCTCTTTGGTGGCCTCCCCTGACCGCCATCTTGATCTGACTCAGAGGCACCTCGAGGGTTCTCAGCTCCCCTCAGGGCATCCTGAGGTGGCTCTCTGGGAACCTTCCAGACACTTTTCTCCATGGGCTTCTTCGAAGCCGGCTCCCCCTGCTTCACACAGGGCTTTCTGTGGCTTTTGCCAGACTCTGAGATCTCCATACTTTGCACATCACCAGCCTCAGGCCCCTCTGAGTAGGCCGAGCTGCTGCAAGGGCTGCCTTTGGGTTTTTTCCAGAGCACTGGTTCCTGCTTGGGGTTTTTCTTCTGCTTCTTTTTCCTGGAGTGAGTCTTAGCTCCAGCCCTATGAACTATCGGCTTGGCGGGGTCATCCTGGTCTTCCATGCCCTTCCAGCGGGTGGGCTTCTCCATCTTCAAGGCAGAGCCCACCTCCTTGGCAAGCCCTGGCTCCTTCTTGACCTTCTTCCCTGCTGCCAAAGCCCATGCTGCTCCCTCCTCAGCCTCAGCGGCCTCCTGAGCCCGAGCCTCCTCCCTGCTGCGGATCTCAGCATCCATGCACAAGATGACCTGCACCACAGCTCCCAGGAGCACCCCCAAAGCTTCCGCCCAGTTCTCTGAGATCTGGTTTGGACTTTGGGGTGGTGGGGGTTGGTTCAGTTGTAGGAGGTGGACCACATCTTCCCAGGTGCGCCCCTCAGCATCCAGGAATTCATTCAAGTTTTTCAAAAACTCAGCATCCTGGGTGGGATCCCTACAGATGACCTTCCAGACGCCACCCCTTCCGGGGAACTCTCGGGGTACAGAGCTCAAGTTCACACCCTCGCCCACCTCGATGAGGGCCGCCTTGACATTCTCTTCCCTCAAAAATATCTTGTTGAGCACGCGGTACGTGCCCAGGGGGGCAAGGACCCCATTCAAGATCTCCTCGAGCTCTGCTTGGCCGCAGTCCTCGGGGATGCCCGTGACCAACAGGGACCTGTGGATGTCCACTTCCATCCCGCGACACCAGTCCTCCAGGAGATTCATCGCCGTGGCCTCTGACATCGAGCTGCTCTAACCCACGGCAGCAGAGGATCGAGGAGGTGGCCGTGAACTATAGCGGTCCCCAGACAGGAGCCCCGGTGGGCACGGGAGCCTGAGGTCCCCGTCCCGGAGGCCCCGCCTGCCCCAGGGCCTCCTCCCCCGCCCGCACCGGAGCTCACACGCGTCCCGAGATCTGGCACCAACAAGGGGTCGTTGGGATGGCGCCGATTCGGGACACCCTGCCGCCGCGGCTTGAGCCAGAAGGCACCGGAAGCCGCCGTCCGCCCCCCGCTCCAGGCCGGGAGGGTCACGCTGCGCCCGGCCTCGATCGCTCCCAGCAGCTGCGCGCAGATGAGGATGGAATCGCACCGCGCGCATGCGCACTTGCTCCCGCGCACCTCACCGGGTCCTCGCTATCCCGCGGCGACCAGGCGGTCTCCATGACAACCAGAGGTTGGTTGCTAGGATTCGGGGTGGCTCTGCAGTTGGCCTAGGGAGCGGGGTTGGAACTTCTACTGTTGAAGCGTCCACTAAGCAAGGGCTCGTACTCTCTCCTGTAGCCCTCCAGGGCCACCTCTTCTTTCCACCCTTGTGTATATAATGTGGACTTGGAGCCAGGGACACTGTCCTCCATGGCTGCACCAACCAGCTCTCTTATCCTCTGCGACAGGACTCCTGGGAAATCTCAGCAATTAGAGGGCAAGAGCTCCAACCGTCCACCCACACTTATCCCCTCCTCTCACAAAAGCTACTGCTTTTGTTGGGCAGCATTTCTGAGCTGCAGCTCCTGAGCGCTAGACACTCCATGGAAATTTCTAGAAATTCCTGGAAATTTCTAGAAACTTTTCTTTCCTCTGTCCGTCTCCATTGTCCTGAAGATTGTGCCTTGCCTTTCCTCGTTAGTTCCTCAACTTGCTGCCCCACCGTAAGATCTTTTTTTATTAGCTTATTAAGTTTAGGTTAATAGTTTAATAGTTTCTTACTTGGATGACTCAGTTTGAGCTGCCAGCTGTTTCCTGCCAGGCCCTTACTGATAACACCTAGCAACACTCTCCCTAGCTCTGTGATCTTCTACAAATAATTTCCACTCCTTCTTTTTCTCCACAATGGTAAAACTCATAAAAATCTTCTTGATCTAGAAATTTTGAAGACTCAGGGACCTCACACATAAAAAATGCTAGTGAAGAACAGAATTTCTCTAAGTATTCAACCAAAATCTGTTCTTTGCATTCAGTTTTGGAATTGGCCTTTGGAAGGCCAAATAGGCAAATCCCTATTCCACTGTTATCTCCACCATCCCTAAATATAAACACGGGCATGACCAATATTTATGTGAATGTTCAAGTCCCTGTTATATCTTGCACCAAAAAAAAAGACATCATTTGAATTGTTAACATCTGAACATTCACATTCCAGTAAAGATAGACCCTGAGCTGGCACAGTGGTGCATGCTCGTTATCCTAGCTGAAAGGGAGGCTGAGACAGGAAGATCACCAAGTTTGAAGCCAGCCTGAGTAACTTAGCCAGGCCCTGTCTCCAAATAAAATGGGCTGTGGACGTAGCTCAATGACAAGAGTGTTTGCCTTGCTTACATAAGCCTTTCAGTTCAGTTGCTGGTACCACCACAAACAAAAACAAAAACTACCCTCTTGCCACAGTAGAGCTCTATAATCTCTCATGTGCTTTATATAATTGAAATTCTATGACTTAGTTAAAGAATGTCACTATATCACTATCCAGAGGGTTTTTTTGTTTTGGTTTGGTTTTTTGATTTTTTTTTTTTCTTTTTTTTGAGACAGGGTCTCACTATGTAGCCCAGGCTGGCCTTGAATTCACTGTGTAGCCCAGGCTGACCTCGAACTTGCAGTGATCCTTCTGCCTCAACCTCCCATGTGCTGGGATTACAGGTGTGCAACATCACACCAGGCCTATGCAGCGGTTTTAGAACAGGGCCCTAAGTTCTCTGCGACTCCTATTGAGAGATCCATGTCCCCTGTCCTCCAGCCAGTAGCATATGGCAGAAAGTGAACTTTGCAGCTTCTCAGGATGGGTTATGAAAGGCATTCAACCTCGTGTTCATTGGGATCCTCTCAACCTCTGACCGCCATACTGTGAGGAAGCCCAACTCACACACAAGAGCCACAGGTCGGTGCTCCAGTTAACAGTTCCCAGCCAAGCCTCACTTCAGGGGGTCTCAGTCCAAGGCAGCAGGCATGTGAGTGAAGAATCTTCCAGATGATTTTGGCCCCCAAACATTAGAATCACCCTGCACCGTCCCACGAGTCTCACAGACATCATCTCACAGACACAAAGCATTCCTGTGCACATTCCTGGCCCAGACAACCCATGACTGTAACAAAACTGTTCTTTCATGCTGCCAAGTTTTGGGGTGGCATTGTGCAACATAGATAATTGGAAAATAGGAGAAAGATAGAATGTAGCAAAACTTGATGACTGGCAGAGCATGTGTGCAGCTAAATATAAGAGCCATAATCTTGGGTTTGCTCCTGAAATGACTTTCAAAAGCAATTTTTTCTTTTTTCTTTTTTTCTTTTTGGTACCAGAGACTGAAGTCAGGCCTTCACACTGAGCTACAAATCCCCAGCCAGTTTTTATTTCTTATTTTGAGAAATTTCTAAATGGCCCAGGCTAGGTTCAAATTTGCAATCCTCCTGCCTCAGCCTCCCAGAGTGTTGGGATTACAAGCATGCACCACATGGCCAGCTCCAAAAACAACTTTTTCAAGCCGTGCACAAAGTTTCACTTTGTGGAATTATTCCAGTGAAATTAGCAGCAGCAGCATCAAACAGATCATCAAGCCTAAGAGTTGAAGAGATAACTTTTCCTCTCCAGTCAGATACTTTTGGTGAAGAAGAAAAGCTTGGTAGCTCAGTGACATGTCACCATTAGCAGAACTGTCAAGAATGTCCCAATCTTTCAGAAGTCACTTAGCATCTTAACCAGAAGCAGAGTAGCCGAAGGGAACCAGCTAGGAGCTGACTGTGCTATGAAGCTATAGTATTAAATGTTCAATGTTTGGTTGCTAAATTTTTCTTTTTTTGGTACCGGGGATCGAACTCAGGTCCTTGTGCTTTCAAGGCAGGCGGCGGAACCACTGAGCTAAATCCCCAGCCCGGTTGCTAAATATTTTAAAGGTAAAATTGTGATGCAAATTTAAAGTTTTCCATAGAATTTAAGATTTTTTTTTGTACAGGAATTGAACTCGGGTCCTTGCACTTGCACAGCAGGCGGTGAAACCACTAAGCTAGATCCCCACCCAATATTTATTCTTGTATTTCCTAAAGTTCATTTTATAATGATGATTTTTTCTTTGACCAAATATTCAGCTAGCTATTCAATATTTTGTCAAAATATTATGTATGTGGTCCTGATACATAGTAAGCAGTTGTTACTTTTGGGGGTTTTTTTGAGACAAGGTCTCAGTATGTAGTCTAGGCTAGCCTTGAACTCAAGGAAATCCTCCTGCCTCACCCTCCCAAGTATTGGGATTACAGCTGTACACCATCCATCATGCCTGGTTTACAGCTGTTATTACTACCGTAAAAGCAAAAGTGCCCAGAGACCTACTCAAGTGGGAAGCATTTTTCTCATAGCTCCTTTCCAGTGACCTGAAGTTTGTGCTAGGAGGGCTAATCACCAGGGCCAGGAAAGTGACAAGACAACACAGGATACTTGCTACCAAATGGGATGTTTGTGTTAGAAGACTTGTGGTGAATGGCACAAAAATCAGTGCTAGTACTGTTGTTACCTCACCGGCTGAATGCATACAACAACAAAGTAAAATACCGGGAGTTGATGAGAACTCTCTCAGCGTTCACCAGCAGTGGGAATATAAATTGGAATAGCCATTCAGGAAAACCCTTTGGACGTATCTACTAAAGCAGAGCATTTACAAACACTGTAACCTCACAGTCCCGCTCCCACTTGTGTGTACCCAACACAAATTTTTTTACTAAAATACATGGCCAGGGATGGTCTGCAACACTATTCAGAGCAGCCAGAATTTAGAAGCCACTCAAATGTCAGTTGTCAGAAGATTGGATAAATTGTGGTGTGTTCACATAATGCAACACTGAACAATGGGGATGAACAATCTACAGCCACACACACATATGGATGAATCTTGTGACTGTATTGTTGGCACCAGACACACAAGCCTGAGTACAGTGTGATTTTGTTTCCAAGAAGTGCAATCACAGACAAAGGGAATCCTTGCTGTCACAAGGCAGGAACTGGCTTCCTAAGGATTCAGTGACTCGGGATGTGGGACTCCTTAGGGCTGGGAGAGCTGGAACAATTCTGTTTCTTGCTTTGGGTGTTGGTTACCGGTGTGTTTAGGTGGTGAACACTCAGCACACCCTATGCCAACATTATGTGCACTTTTGTGTAAATCTATTACACCACAGTAATAGGCTTTACTCTTTTGCTGATGAACTAATTGGATGGGAGGTATAAGGGCCACTAAATGACTTAGGTCTTTGAACTGAGCAACTCAAAGGTGGTTGATGCCACTTACTTTTGAATGGGGAAAGTTGGAAAAGAACAGGTTGGGGAACAAGGCAAGAGAATGAATCAGAAGTTGGCTTGGGCTATGCTGAGATTCAGATGCTGTGTTGGGGTCCCTTGAGTTCAGGGATGATGTCTCGAAGGACTCAGCAAAGCTATTGCACTCACGGTGACTGGGAAAGGGCTCAGGGGGCAGAGGCCAGGGGAGACCAGACACCGGCTTCCATTTGTCCACTCTGGATGGCTTCTCAGATGGCGTTTATGTCTCCTGGTGACAGCACATGGAGTATGGCAGCCGGGGAGGCCCACTTGAACCTTGGTGTCCAGAGCTCTCACCGGGGGTCGATCATGCATGCAGACCTGGGATCGGGTGACCAGAGGCCCCATGCTCCCACCCTCTGGAGTCAAACTGGTACTGCCTGGCCCAGGACCTGCTCCATCACTCCAGCCTGAGCTTAGGACACTCGAGGGCTTAGCGTCACCTCCGGGAAGCTGGTCGCCCATCTGTGTGTTCTGGAACACACAGGGCTTGGACAGCACAGGCCTGTTGGGTGAACTCCTTACAGCATGGGTGTATCCGTCAGAGAACCGTCATCACTGGTCACTGTCATCAGGGAAGCAGACGAAGGCGAGTGATGGGGAAGGGGGGGCTGGCATGGGAGGGGCCAGAGGCGCTCTGTGTGTTAGGCGGGAGTTGGTGGTCAGCCGGCGCAGGCTGTTGCTCTTTGCTCTTTGCTCTTTGCTCTGCTGTGAGGCCCGAACCAGTCAGTGTCTGGGCTCACACTTGGAAAGGAAAGCTGAATGCAAAACAAAATGGGTGAAGGTGGCAGGGCCCACAGGCCAGCCTGGGCCTCTCTCTCTGGCTCTCCGCCGTGCATGCCCTGCAGGAGCTGCTGGGCTGATGCCACCTTGCCGCCCATGCTCCTGGCCCAGACCCAGGGAAGCTGAGAGAGACTGGCTCGGGACATTCTTCTCTTTCTTTCAGTAATTTTATTTTGGCAGGCAATGTAATAAGAAATATTGGGTTTTAATAAAGTAGATTTTTGAGTACAGCAATATTCACAACGAGTGTCTCTGGGGAGGAGGAGGCAGGAGGATTGACAGTTTGAGGCTAGCCTGGGCAACTTTGTGAGATCCTGTCTTAAAGTGAATTTCTAAGAAAGAAATAAAAAGGGCTGGAGATGTAGCTCAGTGCTCCCTGTGTTCAACCCCTACTATTGCCACAAAAAATTTGAATGCTAAAGCCAGGTGTGGGGGTGCTTGCCTGTTATCTCAGCACTTAGGAGGCTGAGGCAGGAGGATTGTGGCAAATTCAAGGCCAGCCTGGACTACATAGCAAGATCCTGTCTCCAAAAAAAAATTTTTTTTTTTGCACCAGGGATCAAACTCAGGACATTGGGCTTGCAAGGCAGGCGCGGCGCCACTGAGTTAAATCCCTGGCAAAAAATTTTTGAATACTATAAAAATATTTAAAATAAATGGATATTAAACTATATTGTGTGTATATATACCTAAATATTGTGCACTCCAAAATATTCCAAATAAATATTTAAGAGAGGAAATTTTAAGTTTTGTTTATATGTTTAAGTAATATTTATTAATGTACACCTCCATGTATATGTTTGTTTGTGTAAGTGGAGTCAGCTGCCTGCTTGTTCTTCCATTAAGGAGCCACTCCATATCCTAGCAGATTTAAAAATAGTTTTAAAGCTTCCTTAGTAGGAGTCCTAATTGTGGTATCCATGACAACACGGGGTCCTGTGGTTTCTATGACACAGGTTTGCACTGTGGATCCATGGTGATGCATCCCTACAGCCGCAGCTCTCTCACCCACCTCTGCATTTGGGTTTAGGCTTGCCTTTCCTGACTCTGTTTAGCTTTTGGGTTTCTATGATGTTCTGGTGTTTCTTTCTTTTTTTTTTTTTTTTGAGACGGTCTCACTATGTAGTTCAGGCTGGCCTTGAACTCTCTATGTAGCCCAGGCTGGCCACAAACTTGTGGCGGTCCTTCTGCTTCAGCCTCCTGCGTGGTGGGATTACAGTATTTTTTTATATTTGAGACAGTCTCACTAATTCAAGTTCCCAGGCTGGGCTCCAGCTTGTGAGCCTCCTGCCTCAGCCTCCAGAGGGCTGGGGTTATAAATGTATCCAGAGGTTGCCTGCCTCACAAGCACAAGGTCCTGAGTTTGATCCCTGGTACCCAAAAGAAAGGAACCCAGAGAGATCATACCCAGATTCCTGCTGCATGCTTTAGAGAACAGGTTTGAGTCCAGAAATCTGACCCCAAAGGCCTAGGCTCCTGTGGGAAATGGTAGAATTCAGCTATCTAGTTCACAAGAAGTTTGTTAACTAAGAGAATTAAGTCATTTCTGGGAAATTCCACAAGTCTGTTTGT